CGAGCTGCTGAGATTACAGGCATGCGTCACCGCACCTGGCTAATTTTTGTATTTTTAGTAGAGACAGGTTTTGCCATGTTAGCCAGGCTGGTCTTGAACTCCTGGCCTTAAGTGATCCGGCCGCCTCAGCCTCCCAACGTGCTGGGATTACAGACATGAACTACCGCACTCGACCTGTGTATCTTCTTTAATGAAGTTTGTTCATTTCTTTTGCCCATTATTTGATTGGGTCAACTGCCTTATAATTACTGAGTTGTAAGTGTTCTTTGTATATTATGAATACAGATCCTTTATCAGATGTGTTTTGTAAATATTTCCTCCAGTCTGTTGCTTGCCTTTTAATTTTCTTAAGGCTGTCTTTTAAAGAGCAAGAGTTTTGAATTTTAAGTCCAATTTATCAATTTTTGCATTCATCACTTATACTTTTGGTCCAAAAAAGAAGTAAGTGGGCCAGGCTTGGTGGTTCATGGCTGCAACCCCAGCACTTTGGGAGACCGAAGTGGGTGAATCGCTTGAGCCCAGAAGTTCCAGACCAGCCTGGCCAACATGGAGAAATCCTGTCTCTATTAAAAATACAAAAATTAGCTGGGCATGGTGGCGCAATGCTTGTAGTCCCAGGTACTCAGGAGGCTAAGGCAGGAGAAGCTGGGAAGCAGACATTGCAGTGAGCCGAGAACACGCCACTGCATTCCAGCCTGGACAAGAGAGAGACTCCGTCTCAAAACAAAAACCAACACACACACACACACACACACACACACACACACACACACACACAAAATAAATAAGTAAAAGAAATAGGTCGGGCATAGTGGCTCATGCCTGTCATCCCAGCACCTTGGGAGGCCAAGTCAGGTGGATTGCTTGAGGCCAGGAGTTTGAGACCAGCCTGACCAACATGGTGAAACCCCGTCTCTAATAAAAATATAAAAATTAGCTGGGTGTGGTGGCACATGCCTAAAATCCCAGCTTTTTGGGAGGCTGAGGCATGAAAATTGCTTGAACCCAGGAAGCGGAGGTTTCAGTGAGACGAGATTGTGCCACTGCACTCCAGCCTTAGTGACAGAGTGAGACTCTGTCTCAAAAAAAGAAAAAAATTTGGTTTTAGATGGTACTTATCTTAAATTCCACTAATCCAAATATATCTGTAAACAAATCATATTTGGGTTTTTTTGTTGTTTTTTTTTTGTTGTTGTTTTTTTTGAGACGGAGTCTCGCTCTGTCGCCCAGGCTGGAATGCAGTGACCGGATCTCAGCTCACTGCAAGCTCTGCCCCCCGGGTTTACGTCATTCTCCTGCCTCAGCCTCCCGAGTAGCTGGGACTACAGACGCCCGCCACCTCGCCCGGCTAGTTTTTTGTATTTTTTAGTAGAGATGGGGTTTCACCGTAGCTAGGATGGTCTCGATCTCCTGACCTCGTGATCCGCCCATCTCGGCCTCCCAAAGTGCTGGGATTACAGGCTTGAGCCACCGCGCCCGGCCAACAAATCATATTTGTAAATGGTGTCACTGATCCTGTAGAGAACATGATGCATCAATTGACCTTGTTTACAAGACTACCCTGGGCGGTCAGCAGTGGATTGCTCCACTTTTCAGGTTGATGTAGTTTTTCTGGTTTTTTCTGTGTGTGTGTAGTTTTCTTTGTTGTTGTTGTTTTTGGTTTTTTGTTGTTGTTGTTGTTGTTGTTTTGTTTTTGAGACGGAGTCTTACTCCATTGCCCATCGCCCAGGCTGGAGTGCAGTGGCACGATCTTGGCTCACTGCAACATCCACCTCCTGGATTCAAGCAATTCTCATGCCTCAGCTTCCCAACAAGCTGGAGTTTACAGGCATGTGCCTTCATATCCAGCTTATTTTTTTGTATTTTTAGTAGAGATGGAGTTTCACCATGTTGGCCAGGCTGGTCTTGAACTCCCGCCCTCAAGTGATCCACTTGCCTCAACCTCCCAAAGTGCTGGGGTTATAGGCATAAGCCACCATGCCCAGCCTGGGTTGATGTAGTTATTTGCATAGGTTTAAAGAGTTGGTCCTCTTTCTTACTAGGATCTAGCTGAAAAATTAAATTTGTAACTATGACCATGTCAGAAATAGAAACTGACCAGAAAATAATGAGGTCTTTGTAGTCATCATTAGGTCTGTTGCAAACCTTGTGATTCTCCTGTCTTTCCAAGTACATGATAAGATCATGTTTTCCTGGTCTTCTTGAATTTAGGCATGCTCATGACTTGATTTGGCCAATGATATAAGTGACAGGTGGAAATCTGAAGAGCCTTATGGAATTCGCCAAGTTCCCTCTTCCTGTCTCATAGAAGATGGAGCCTCCAATCAGCCTGGGCCTCCAGTGAGAAGCAGAACTTCCTGGCTGCTAATGTAGTCCAGGAAAGAGAAATGAACAGAATCCCTCTGATAACTCACATTAAACATTGTAGCTTGAGCAAGAAACAAACATGATTTGTGGCCAGGCGCAGTGGCTGACACCTGTAATCCCAGCATTTTGAGAGGATCACTTCAGCACAAGTTCAAGACCAACCTGGGTAAGATAGTGAGATCCTGTCTTTATTATCATATATACAATACATATTTTATATGTGTATATATTAGCTGGATGTTGTGGCTCACACCTGTAGTCCCAGCTACTCAGGAGGCTGAGGCAGGAAGATCACTTGAGCCCAGTTTGAAGCTGCTGTGAGCTATGATCACGCCACTACTCCAGCTTGCATGACAGAGAGAGACTCTCTGTCTTTAAACAAAAGAAAACAAACAAACAAAGAACCCAAAAAGGTGAGTTGTATGAAGCCACAGAAATATTAGGAATGTTACTGTAACATAACCTGGCTTAATACAAAGGTTACAAACTATATTTAATGGAGAACACTGCCTTAAAACCCTTCAGATTATTAGTTTGGAACCTGCTTAGGAGTCGAAGTTTGGGTTCCAGTCCTAGCTCTGGCAGAGCAGGTTAGGCTCAGCTCCTCTGGTCAGCCACGGAACCATTATCCCTTCAAGACACACACACACATATTTATTCGCTCCATGAGGGGAAAGAGCATGTTCTTTTTTTTTTTTTTTTTTTGAGATGGAGTTTCGCTCTGTTGCCCAGGCAGGAGTGCAATGGTGCGATCTCGGCTCACTGCAACTTCTGCCTCCCGGGTTCAAGAGATTCTACCACCTCAGTCTCCCGAGTAGCTGGGATTACAGGCGCATGCCACCACGTCGGGCTGTTTCGTAATTTTTTTTTTTTTTTTTTTTTTTTGAGATGGAGTCTCGCTCTGTTACCCAGGCTGGAGTTCAGTGGTGCGATCTTGACTCACTGCAAGCTCCGCCTCCTGGGTTCACGCCATTCTCCTGCCTCAGCCTCCCAAGTAGCTGGGACTACAGGCGCCCACCACCACATCTGGCTAATTTTTTTGTATTTTTAGTAGAGACAGATTTTGCCATGTTAGCCAGGATGGTCTCGATCTCTTGACCTCATGATCCACCCGCCTCAAACTCCCAAAGTGCTGGGATTACAGGTGTGAGCCACCACGCCCGGCCTACATTTTGTATTTTTAGTAGAGACAGGGTTTTGCCATGTTGGCTAGGCTAACCTCGAACTCCTGACCTCAGGTGATCCGCCCGACTCGGCCTCCCAAAGAGCTGAGATTATAGGTGTGAGCCACCGCGCCTGGTCAGGCAATGTTCTTTAATTTATGTGTCTGTTTCTACATATGGAAAATGCAGACAGTAGTATCTACATATCATCGATATAAACAATTTAGGTAGGATAGTGCCTAGCAGATAATGCTTTGTGGGTATTAGCTGTTAGTGCTGTATGGCTCTTGCTGCCACCCTTACCTTCTTCCCAGCAACCCATCCAAAACATGCTGGCTACAGCCTTCCCATCTCTTCTTTTGGAGAGCTGAGCACAGCACAGGAATCAACCCTGGGAGACTTACGTTCAGTTTAAATGATAAAATCCTGAGCTAGGCTGGGCATGGTGTCTCACACTTGTAATCCCAGCACTCTGGGAGGCCAAGGTGGGTGGTTCACCTGAGGTTAGGAGTTCCAGACCAGCCTGGCCAACATGGCGAAACCCCATCTCTAATAAAAATAGAAAAATTAGCCAGGCATGGTGGCCCACACCTATAGTCCCAGGTACTCAGGAGGCTGAGGTAGAATTGCTTGAATGTGGGAGGCAGAGGTTGCAGTGAGCTGAGATTGTGCTGGGCATGGTGGCTCATGTTTGTAATCCCAGTACTTCTGAAGTCTGAGATGAAAGGTTTGCTTCAGGCCAGGAGTTTGAGACCAGCCTGGACAACATAACAAGATCTCCTCTTTACAAAAAAAATGTAAAAATTAGCCAGGTGGGGCCAGGCGCAGTGGTTCATGCCTGTAATCCCAGCACTTTGGGAGGCCGAGGCAGGCAGATCACCTAAGGTCGGGAGTTCAAGACTAGCCTGACCAACATGGAGAAAACCTGTCTCTAGTAACAGTACAAAATTAGCCGGGCATGCTGGCGCATGCCTATAATCCCAGCTACTTGGGAGGCTGAGGCAGGAGAATCACTTGAACTTGGGAGGCAGAGGTTGCCATGGGCTGAGATCATGCCATTGCACTCCAGCCTGGGCAACAAGAGCGAAACTCCATCTCAAAAAAAAAACAAAAAACAAAAAACACCCAGGTGTGGTGGCACATGCTTGTGGTCTCAAGTTGAGAGGCTGAGGTGGCAGGATTGCTTAAGCCCAGGAGGCAGATGTTGCAGTGAATCAAGATCATGCCACTGCACTCCAGCCTGGTGACAGTGAGACCCTGTCTCAAAACAAACAAAAAATTCCTGGGCTTGGCTCTAGATTGGAGCTATAGTGAAAAATGAAATTAAGAGCTACGAATGTCTCCTAAGTTAGAAGAATAGTTAAGTATCAGGTTAGTTCATAGCAACTGTCAGAGCTAGGAATTGGCCCAGTCTCACTGGTTTCAATCAACGGGAATTGGAAAACAAAACAGTCACGTTCCCATTCATACCCAAATAATTCTCAAGACACATGTGCGGTGTCCGGTTTATTCGAAGTGGCTGTCAGAGGCTCAACCAAGGAGCAGGAACCAAATAGCTGGGAGCTATGGGGCTAAAGAGGGCAGAGATTTCCAGGTATCAGAAGGTAAAAGGAGGTCAGCTTAGCAGCCAGAGCAGCGTTAGGGCCAGGCTAAGTAGGAGAGGCCAGGCCGCCCAGGGCCCAGCCCCACTCATGGCTGCAGCATAGAACCTCGCCACCTCCTCATTGGGGTTGCCCTGGGCTGGGTCGAACCACATCTGGATGCAGCGGCCACTCCCTCGGCTGTAGTTGCTGACCTTGTAGGAGTAAGTCCAGATTTCATTGCACAGAACAGTGGGTGTGGGGAAGTAGAAATGGAAAGGTTGGCAGGCAGCTCCCACTGGGCACTTGTTAAACCCTGTAGAGAAGAAGGAAGACCTTTATCCACAGGGCCCAGAACTATCTTGGGGTCTGCCAGCCCTACAACCCCAAATTGTCACATCCCTGTTCCACACCCACATACCTCCATTTCCAAATCCCTCCGTTCCTGCCCACCCCAGCCCTCACCTGAGGTCCAGTTCCAGCCTTTGTGCCAGTTGCTCTTGCAGGTGTAGGAGGTGCGACAGTCTTCCCACCATTGCTCACAGTCCTCTTTGCACAGGGGCACGTTCAGCACCCGCTCTTTGCGCCAGCTCTGATCCACCTGGGAGATTTTGTTACAAAAGAAGGGCTCAGGTTCAAGAATCCCAGCAACCCAGCCCTGAATAGAACTGGAGCTGGGATCGCAGCCTGCAGAGATGCCTGGAAAGTTCAGCTCTTCCGCTAGGTCTTGTACCTACAGGAAGCCATGCATACCTGCTGGATCCAGGGCCCCAAGTTGGGGGAGCACTCGTAGAGGCAGGTGTCCTGGATGAAATGCCGTTTGCAGGCAGGTGCCATCTCTCCACAGTGGTTCCAGTTGAATCTATATAGGTAGGAAACATCCTTATGGGCTTCCTGGCTGGTGTTGGTAGAACAGCAGGCATTCTTCTTCCAGGGACGACACTGGATGGGGGATGACACAGGACTCGGTCCACAGCCAGAACAGCCAGAATATTCCACATGCAGTGTCTCCCCTCTTAGTCCTTCATTCCCCAGCCCACTGGAAGTCACCCAGGAAAATACTTGCTGTTGGGACCTCTTTAGGGGAGAGGGCCGTCAGAGACTGTGGGAGCCCAGAAGGGAGCTCCTGTTGGAGTTGCAGTCATTACAAAATTTGTTAATTCAACCTTTATTGAGATCCTACTTACTCTCACCCAGGTACTTGTGTAGAAACTAGAGTTACAACAATGAACACATCACCTGATTATTGCTTTGGACAACAATTAAGCAAGGGAGAAGGATGGGGACTTGCAGTGTAATAGTGTGGTCAGATTAAGCCTCACTGAGGTGACAAAGATTTGAAGGTAAAAAAGCAATTTAAATTGTAACCTCAGGCTTGGTGCAGTGGCTCACTCGTGTAATCCCAGCATTTTGGGAGGCCAAGGCAGGTGGATCACCTGAGATTAGGAGTTTGAAACCAGCCTGGCCAACATGGTGAAACCCCGTCTCTACTAAAAATACAAAAATTCGCCAAGTGTGGTGGCGGACACCTGTAATCCCAGCTACTCAGGAGGTGTTTTGTCCCTGACTAGCTGCCTCACCCATTATCTGTTCCCGGAATTTGTGATACAAAAAACAATGTATAGCCAATCAATTGCAGATGTCATTTTTATTATAAATTATTGAGAAACAACTTAGGAACTACTATTTTTCCTTAAAAACTAACTTGTGATGGCTGTGAAATTCAGGATGAGTGGAATCTATGCTCCTGTGTGGCTATCCTCAAGCTTTCTGAATCTCGTTACTTAAGGCTGATGAGCTAAATATTAAAATGTGGGCCGGGTACAGTGGCTCACGCCCGTAATCCCAACACTTTGGGAGGTGGAGGTGGGCAGATCACTTGAGGTCAAGAATGGAGACCACAGCCTAGCCAACATGGCAAAACCCCATTTCTACTAAAAATACAAAAATTAGCTGGGCGTGGTGGCAGGCACCTGTAGTCCCAGGTACTCTGGAGGCTGAGGCAGGAGAATTGCTTGAACCCGGGAGGCGGATGTTGCAATGAACTGAGATTGTGCCACTGCACTCCAGCCTGGGCGACAGAGCAAGATTCCATGTCAATAAATAAATAAATAAATAAATAAATAAATAAATAAAATGTGCACTTAAGGCCGGGTGCGGTGGCTCGCACCTATAATCCCAGCACTTTGGGAGGCCAAGAAGGGCGGATCATGAGGTGAGGAGTTCGAGACCAGCCTGGCCAACATAGTAAAACCCCCATCTCTACTAAAAATACAAACAAACAGAAAATTAGCTGGATGTGGTGGTGTGTGCCTACTCAGGAGACTGAGGCAGGAGAATCACTTGAACCTGGGAGGTGGAGGTTGCAGTGAGCTGAGATTGCATCACTGCACTCCACCCTAGGCAACAAGGGCAAAACTCCATCTCAAGAAAAAACAAAAAAAAAAGAAATGCATACTACAAGTTTCTCTCTCTTTCCTCCCTCCCTTTCGTCTTTCTTCTTTCTTTCTTTCTTTCTTTTCTTTCTTTCTTTCTTTTTCTTTCTTTCTTTCTTTGTTTCTTTCTTGCCTTCTTTCTTTCTTTCTTTCTTTGTTTCTTTCTTTCTTTCTTTCTTTCTTTCTTTCTTTCTTTCCTTTCCTTCCTTTCCTTTCTTTTTCTTTTTTTTTTTTTCATTCTTTCTTTCTTTTGACAGGGTCTCACTCTGTTGCCCAGGCTGGAGTGCAGTGGCACGATCTGCAATCTCTGCCTCCTGGGCTCAGTTGACCCTCTCACCTCAGCCTCCTGAGTAGCTGGGACTACATGTGCCACCACACCTGACTAATTTTTTGTGTTTTTTTAGTAGAGATGGGGTTTTGCCATCTTGCCCAGGCTAGTCTAGAACTCCTGATCTCAAGTGATCTGCCCACCTCGGCCTCCCACAGTGTTGGGATTACAGGCGTGAGCCATAACACCGGACTACAAATTACTTTTCCTCTGCTTTTTCTTTAGTTATAATCATCATGTTCAGGATATTAAACGGGTGGTAGCAAAATAAATGTTATAGGGAGAACTCAGGTCCAATGTGGTTGAGAGACACAGCCCAAAGTTTTGCTAGATGCATGAACCAAGATGCTTCAGGAGGGGTATGGCTCATTTCTGTAATCCCATACTTTGGGAGGCCGAGGTGGGAGGATCACTTGAGTCCAGGAGTTTGAGACCAGCCTGGGCAACATATAGAGACCTCGTCTCAGGAAAAAAAAAAAAAAAAAAGAATGCTTCGCACCCAGCCTCATAATGTGAGAGACTCTCCCTTCTTGAGCTGTTTAGGGCTGGCAGAAAAGAGGCCACTATGCACAGTATGCAGTTTCTTCCCTCGGATCTTTGGAGGAGTCATTCAAAGTCTAAATCCCTAAATCAAGCAACCCCAGGATGAGTCACTCCAACTTCATTTCCCAGGCTCTCCTCTGGGCCTGCTTCCTTATCTATGTCATGCGGAAACTCAACAATCAAGAAGGTGAACTGTTGGCATTGTACCGACATTTGGCACACAGTGTCTGTGAAATAGTCACCCATATTAATGCAAACTGAAGGGCTCCTCCTGTGGGTCTGTCTGCCTTCACTTCACCAGTGAATGGAGTTTGACATTCCCATGTCCTGGTTTCCTCTGCCTGAGCCAGTCCCTCACCACCCCAGATCACCCCCTGGCCCACCTGCTCATGCAACTTGTCCTCCGGGCCTGGCTTTTCCTTGTGGTGCTTGGCGTTCATGCAGACATTGAGAAGCTCAGTCCTGGCCCGTGCAGTCCTTGTCTGAGCCTCCCCTACTACAGCCACCCACACTAGAAGGAGCAGCAGCTGTGTTGTCATCCGCTGAGCCATGTCTGTTCCTGAAGGAAGAGCTGTGGTCAGTGGCACCAAGGAATGCGGAGGTGGGGCCTTAAGTTGTTCGCAGGGCTCCAGGAGGGTGGGGCCTGGACTGAAGCCTGGGGCAGATAGAGCCCTGCCCCCATCTCCCTCAGTTTTCCCAGACCCAGTGAGAGGTGGGATTAGATACCACCCCTCCCTGGCTTGAGCCTCATTGCCTTCTCCAGGTGATCACGAGGTTCAAGTGATATAATTCAAGGATGGATTTGGTCAAAATGCAGAAATAGCCAGGAGTTTGTCATAGGTCCACAATGCCTCATTCAAATGTTTCAGAGTTAAAATTTTTTAGGATTTCATCAAAGGTGATTCAAATATAATATAATTTTCATATACCCAATAATCAAGTGTATGTTCTGGGGTGAAACAGTTACACTGGTGGGATAAATTAAAACTATACATAAGCTCACATTAATTTTCAGGTCAGATTTTGACACGTTGTAAAAGTTTACAAAAATGGGCTGGGCGTGGTGGCTCACGCCTGTAATCCCAGCACTTTGGAAGGCTGAGGTGGGTGGATCACCTGAGGTCAGGAGTTTGAGACCAGCCTGGCCAACATAGTGAAACCCCATCTCTACTAAAAATACAAAATGAGCTGGGTGCGGTGTCATGTGCCTGTAGTCCCAGCTACTCAGGAGGCTGAGGGAGGAGAATCACTTGAATCCAAGAAGCGGAGGTTACAGTGAGCCAAGATTGTGCCATTGCACTCCAGCTTGGGTGACAGAGTGAGACTCTATCTCAAAAAACAAAACAAAACAAAAAGTTTATAAAAATGTTTTAGCTGGGGGGCTGCAGTGTGGTTTTTCATAGTTGCTTTTTAAACCTTGGTCCCAGCCCTTTCTAGCCTCATCACTCAAGCTAGTTTTGTAGGCCCCTCCTGGAAACCATGGGATCTTGGGGCGGGGCGGGGCAGGACGGGGGTCACAGGGCACAGGGGCTGGCAGGGGGCAGCCAGCTAGACAGCCCTGGGGCTTTGGAGAGCTCCTGTGCCCCCACCACAGAGCTGGCCTCTCCTTGGTCATCACGGAACTTCAATCCTTTGACCTCAGACACTGAATTTTGGGAGGTGACTGTTTCCTTCACTCCACTGGTCACCAGGTGTCTGGGTCCCCCTAAAATGCTCGGAATTTATTTCCTATGACTTCTCTCCATCTGTCTCCTCTAACTCATCTTCCACATACCAGTCGCTAAAGTGGACATGCTTTCCCACTCACAAGTTTGCCTTGCCCCCGTGCTGCCCCTCCTCTCCTCTTGACAGGCCTCCTTGACAGGGGTCTAGGCAGGGCCTGAGCTGGGCTGTCTCCAGGCTGACTGCACAGCAGGGTTCAGATAGGCCTGGAATTGAACTCCCACCCAGCAGCTCTCCTTCCTGCTCCACAATCCATTATTCTGCTACTCTATTGATTCCAGTGTTCATTCATTCTCTCATGGTTGATTCATTCATTCCAGGATCCAGTCATGCCTCTGTGGACCCACTCACTAACCTTGAGGGACACGCCAGAGAAATCTGTACTCTCAGGGAGTACCAGGTGATCCTTTGGGTTTAGCTCCTGGGAAACAAACCCTAACTGTTTAGAGCACAGGGTTCCCGTTCAGCCTGTCCTGACCCCAGCCCTCGCTCCACCTTCTCCTTGGCCTTGGGGGAAAGAGAAGCAAACTATCTTGAGGCTTAGCTTTCTCCTGCAAGGATTAAATGTAAGAAGGGGAAATCAACAAAGGATAGCCAGTTTAATCTTTGCAGAAGCATTTGAGCACAGATAAGGGCCATGCCCCAAGTCACACAGCAGGGACCATCCAAGTTCAAGCCAGAGCTCTTTTGGCCTTTGCTCCCTGCACCTTCACAGTGCTGAGGCTCTCATGGGTGCAGCCAATATGCAGTGCTGGGGATGGGGGCTGAGAAAATCCTTTCCCCAGCCCTCAGTGGAGCCCAGCTGTTCAGTCAGTAGTCTCTCTTGCCGTGGCTGCTTCTGAAGCCAGGCTCTCTTCCTGTCCTTTTGACCAGCATCACTCCGCAAGCCCCCTTCCCACCTTCCTAGTTTCACCTTCAGGTCTTGGTCCAGCTGTGACCCCTCCCCACCAACAATCATGACCCCCACCCCCAACCTTGGGGCCCCAGACTAGAAGAGCTGAGAACTCAGTGCTGGACTGAAGGGCTAGAGCCCAGGTACTAGTTCAGGGAGATGAACACTAACTTGTCATTTAAGCTTGAGCAGGCCACACTCTGGTCTGGGCCTCAGTCTCCACTTCAAGATTCTCTGGGCTTCAGGCAAACAGAGGGCACTTCCAGTTCAGCAAATCCTTAACACATGCTGGGAGTACTATAGGGTGTGTGGCCTCTGAAGGGGGATGGGGAGTGTCATACCTGGGAGAGGAGGTGGCTCTTGGTCTGGCTCAGGCTTCTGCTCTGCTCTGCACTCCCCCTTGCCTTATTCCAGGGGACAGCTGTGGTTTAGTGGCCTAGGAGACGGGCAGTGGGGCAGGGAGTGGGAATGGAGCCCAGGAGTGGAGCCTGGGATTGGGCGAAGGCCACTCAGCAGTTAATTATTGCTTGTGAGCACCAACCAAGCCTCCATGGGGAAGTGGGAGGGGGTGAATTAACAGTACAGGCCTAAGGCTAGTCCCTAAGCTCCACCTACCCCATTTTTTCCCAAATGCTCAGGTCTGAAAAAAATCTTGCAACCTGAGCTGCCAGGATCCTTTGAGCTAATCTCATCAGTTTCCAACCCCTCTGTCCTGTTACATAGATGAGGAAAATGAGATCCGGAGGATCAGGGCAAGGACTAGAGCCCGGGTTTCCAACCTCCCAGACAGCTATAGAGAGCAAGGATCTCAAAAGGCCATAAATTGTAGAGCCACCAAATCTCCCAACTTCCCCAACCCCATGAGCCCAAGTGTCACTCATTGCCAGTCACAAAATCACAGATGTTCTGAATCTTTTGATCAGATCTTCAGCTGTTTGAAGGGCCAAGCTCTCCTTCCATCGCCAACTCACAGACCCCCTCTCCCAGCAACTCAGGTATCCTTTCTACAGCACCTATGATTCTGGGATAACTCTTCCCTCCATCCCCACCCCAGTCAATGACAAAAAGCCTTCATTTTTTTATTCTCTGAGCCCATGGTGGTACCACAGATGGGAAAAAGGAGAGGGAGGGGCAGGTTTGGGCAGGAAGAAACACAGAACACTGTTTTGTCAAGGTGCCTGTGTGCCCTTGGCCCAGGGGGAAGTGGTTGCAGAGGGGAAGCTCAGGGGAGGAGTCCAGGTTGGATGCAGGTGTGGGAACCATCAGCCTATGAGTGGCAGTAAGTGCAGGGAAGATGGGGGCCCAGTAACCTGGGCAATGCCACAGGCCAGGACTGAGGAGGAGGCAGGCAGGGGAGCCTGAGAAGGCAGTTGGATCTCTGGAGGAAAATCAACCAAGAAGGGAGGCCTTCTAGGGCCTTCAAAGAGATCAGTTCCCAGGAGATCCTAGCTTGTGCCCTGCAACCATAGGGTGTGAGCCATACCTGAATCTTGTGACAATCTGGGAAGTGTCAACTTAAAATCACCAGATCTATATATTTGGAAACAATATTATTTCTTATGTTGGGTTGCAATATGCAGGCTGGTAAGTGGAACCTTTGGCTGAGACCAAAAGCAGGCAATTTGAGGGAGGAAGGGTGGGACAGAAGTTTTATGTAAAATAGGTTGGCTAGCATACATATTAATGGGTTACAGGAGAAGCTATGAATGTCCATGAAAGGGAGTCACATGCGTGTGTACTAAGCAAACATACATGTTACATACATCCTGTGTTCACTTTGGGGTTGAGACTTAACATTAATTTTTTATTTTTTCATTTTTATTTTCATTTATTTATTTATTTTTGAGACGAAGACTTGCTCTGTTGCCCAAGCTGGAGTGCAATGGCACAATCTCAGCTCGCTGCAACCTCCACCTGCCAGGTTCAAGAGATTCTCCTGCCTCAGCCTCCCAAGTAGCTGGAATTACAGGCGCCTGACACCACGCACAGCTAATTTTTGTATTTTTAGTAGAGACGGGGTTTCACCATGTTGGCTAGACTGGTCTCAAACTCCTGACCTCAAGTGATCTGCCTGCCTCAGCCTCCCAAAGTGCTGGGATGACAAGCGTGAGCCACGGGGCCCAGCTGTTTTTTTCTTTTTTTGGACAGAGTCTCGCTCTATCACCTAGGCTGGAGTGCAGTGTCATGATCTTGGCTCACCGCAACCTCCACCTCATGGGTTCAAGTGATTCTCCTGCCACAGCCTCCAGAGTGGCTGGGATTATAGGTGTGCACTACTACACCTAGCTATTTTTTTATATTATTTCTTAGTAGAGACGAGGTTTCACTGTGTTGGCCAGGCTTGTCTCAAAATCCTGGCCTCAAGTTATCTGCCCACCTTGGCCTCCCAAAGTGCTGGGATTATAGGTGTGAACCACGGCATCCGATCTATTTATATTTTTATTTAAAAATAGAGACAGAAGGCCAGGTGCAGTGGCTTATGCCTGTAATCCCAGCACTTTGGAAGGCTGAGATGGGCGGATCACCTGAGGTCAGGAGTTCGAAACCAGCCTGGCCAACATGGTGAAACCCCATCTCTACTAAAAATAAAAAAATTAGCTGGGTATGGTGGTGTACACCTGTAATCCCAGCTACTACTGGGAACTAAGGCAGGAGAATTGCTTGAACCTGGGAGGCAGAGGTTGCAGTGAGCCAAGATCACACCACTGCACTCCAGCCTGGGCAATAGAGCAAGACTCCATTCCCCCTACCCAAAAAAAAAAAAGAAAAGAAAAAGAGAGACAGGGTCTCACTATATTGCCCAGGCTGGTCTTGAACTCCTAGGCTCGAGCAATCCTCCCACCTTGGCCTCCCAAAGTGCCAGGATTATAGGTGTGAGCCATCATGCCCCGCCAAGACTTAACATTAAAATGCAAACTTAGGCTGTACACATCAAAAAGCGAAACATAGGACACAAAGGCACTTTGTGTGCAGCCTCTGTAAATTGGCCAGAGCCAGCCCATGGTTAACAGGAATTGATCAGGAAGGAATGCCTTGTGAGCTGGTCTGCTGTCATATCAAAATCACAAAAAGAGGCCAAGCTCAGTGGCTCATGCCTGTAATCCCAGCACTTTGGGAGGCCAAGGCAGGTGGATCCTTTGAGCCCAGGAGTTTGCGACCAGGCTGGGCAACACAGCAAAACTCCATCTCTACAAAAAAAAATACAGAAGTTAGCTAGGCATGGTGGTATGTGTGCCTGTAGTCCCAGCAACTCGGGAGACTGAGGCGGGAAGATCACTTGAACCCAGGAGGCAGAGGCTGTAGTGAGCCGAGATCATGCCATTGCACTCTAGCCTGGGTGACAGAGCCTGTCTCAAAAAAAGAGACCATGTCTCAAAAAAAAAAAAAAAAAAAACCACGAAAAAAAGAGGGACATCTGCCCACAGCATCAGGTGGTTGAAGTTGAAATCAGCAAGATTCTTCCATCTGTTTTCCAGGACTGGTTTCTGCTTCACTCTTGGGAAAAAAGGCTAGTAACAGTAAGGAAGAGTGTGTACTGGGGTGTGACCAGCCTCCTGTCTTATCATAACCAAGAAACTTAGATTTTGAAGTTTTTGCGGGGTATCCTTGGCCAAGAGGGGTTTGTTCAGTCAGTTGAGGGGGCTTTGGATTTTCTTTTCTTTTCTTTCTTTCTTTTTTTTTTTTTTTTTTTTTTTGAGATGGAATCTCGCTGTCTTACCCAGGCTGGAGTGCAGTGGCGCAATCTCGGCTCACTTCAACCTCTGCCTCCTGGGTTCAAGCAATTCTCCTGGCTCAGCCTCCTGAATAGCTGGGATTACAGGTGCCCACACCACGCCTGGCTAATTTTTGTAAATTTAGAAAAGACAGGGTTTCACCATGTTAACAAACCTGGTCTTGAACTCCTGACCTCAGGTGATCCACCTGCCTTGGCCTCCCAAAGTGTTGGGACTACAGGTGTGAGCCACCACACCTGGCGGATTTTCTTTTTATTCCACATTTCCTGCTTTTAGCTGAGATCTGCCACAGGCAGCATCAATAGCCAAATTTGTACCATGTCGTTGCCAGGATGGTGGGGCTACCTGCTCCAGGTCCACCCAGTCCCTTGGTGGAACCCTTGTGGCCAAGAGACTTATAGTCAATTGAACATCTTGACCAGACAGGAATAGAGGTGGGCAGGCACTCATTAACCCCTAAGGTCTATCAAGCAACATAAGGGCCAAAAGGTAGGGCTACCAATTTAACTTGTCTATAAGTTCTATGCACTGAGCCAGCATAATTCTGGTTTTAGCAGCAGACTTACAGCAGTTGGTTATACATATTATAGGTAATTTAAATGTAAAGAAGAAAAGGTTGATGGAGACTATGAATATAACAAGGACTTGAATGGCATCTTGAAAGGAACTTCCCAGTTTGGTAGAAAGCCAACTAAATAGGTAGTTGATAGGATCAGTAGTTCATACCTCTTGTAACCATTTAGCTCGTGTGGAAATTTTTTCTTTCTTTATTTCTTTTTTCTTTTTGAGATGGAGTCTCTCTCTATCACCCAGGCTGGAGTGCAGTGGCATAATCTCAGCTCACTGCAACCTCCGCCTCCGGGTTCAAGCGATACTCCTGCCTCAGCCTCCTGAGTAGCTGGGATTACAGGCATGCGCCACCACACCTGGCTAATTTTTGTATTTTTAGTGGAGACAAAGTTTCACCATGATGGCCAGGCTTGTCTTGAACTCCTGACTGGTGGTCTGCCCCCCTTGGCCTCCCAAAGTGCTGGGGTTACAGGCTTGAGCCACCATGCCCGGCTGAAAATTCTTTCTGTATGAATTTCTTTTCTTTATTTCGAGACAGTCTTACTCTGGCACCCAGCATGGAATACAGTGGCGTGATCTCAACTCTCTGCAACCTCCCCCTCCTAGGCTCAAGCAATTATCGTGCCTCAGCCTCCTGAACAGCTGGGATTACAGGGTGTGCCACCAGGCCCAGCTTTCTTTTTTCTTTTTCTTTTTCTTTTTTGAGACAGAGTCTTGCTCTATTTCCCAGGCTGAAGTGAAATGGCATGATCTCTGATCACTGCAACCTCTGCCTCCCAGGCTCAAGCAATCCTCCTGCCTCAGCCTCCCAAGTAGCTGAGACTACAGGCATGTGCTACCATGTCCTGTTAATTTTTGTACTTTTTATAGAGACGGAGTTTCCCCATGTTGCTCAGGCTGGTCTCAAACTCCTGAGCTCAAGCGATCCTCCGGCCCCAGCCTCCAAAAGTGCTGGGACTACAGGCATGAGCCACTGGGCCCAGCCCTATATAGTTTCTACTTCACCTGAAATGTTGATGTAAGTGCCACAGATCTTAGAGACCACCACACAGACTCTTCCTTGTTTGGCTAAGAGAAAATCTAAAGCAATTAAATTATCTATTACTACTTGAATCAGGGAATTGAGAGACTTTGTTGGGCTGTAGGGCTTTGTGCAGTGTCTCCAGCTACCTGTTCAATAGTGGCAGATAGGTTTGAATATGCCGGTCAGGTTTTGAATTTGTCTCATTTAAGGAGGTTATCTGAGA